GCTACAGCCAGCCTCAAGCATTGGTGGCACCCGCAGGCAGGCAGCTTCTCCGTGTCCCTGGGACACGGGGTGAGTGGCTTCTCCGGCTGGCGGCCCGGGACCACAGGGCAAGCAGCTTCTTCATCTCCCGGGCCACAGCCGGCCGCAGGCGCTGGTGCCCAAGACTGCTGCAGGCGGCTTCACCCAGCTGGTTTTGTCAGGAAGGTCTCCTGGTCTAATTAGTATAGATACACACTGTCTACATATATTAAAAGCTTTAACAACCATTATGACCGAATGACGGGAAGACCAGTCAGTATGATGTGCACTGACCACCAGGCAGCAGATGCTGAATGCAGGAGCGGCCCCCTGGTGGTCAGTGCACTCCCCCAGGGGAGCCCTGCTCAGCAGAAGCCAGGCTCCTGGCTGGTGAGCACAGCTGGGGGGAGAGGGGAGGAGCCTCTCCTGACTCCGAGGCAGCGCTGAGCCGCCCTGGGCCAGGATGAGGATGAGTACCAGCAGTGCAGCGCAGCGGGCTCCTCCCTAGCCGCCTGCAAGGATCGGGCCCACCACAGTCAGACATCCTCTGAGGGGTCCGATTGTAAGAGAGCACAGGCCGGCTGTGGACACCCCTCTGGTGCATGCGTCCATGCGCCGGGCCTCTAGTAGTTCTCTATAATTCATCCTTACCTGAGGATATTTTTCCCATTGCTTTTTAGAGAGGGAGGAGACAGGGAGGAACATATTGGGTCGGCAGCTAAGTAATTGCGGATTTTTTAAGACAATTTTTTCATGGAACTAAATAACTTTATTCTGTAATGTATTGCCCATTTTGATCAATGACCTTTTGCCATCTTTCAGGCAGCATCATAATCCCACGTTCAAAAAACTTCTGGTTTTTATTAGCAAAAAACTGAATCAGGTACGATTTGACATCATCATCATTATTGAAATTTTTACCATTCAAGGAGTTTTGTAAAGATCGAAACAAAAAATAATCAGATGGTGCAAGGTCAGGACTATATGGTGGATGTGGCAAAACATCCCAACCAAGCTCCATTAATTTTTGCCGAGTGACCAAAGATGTGTGTGGCCTTGCATTGTCATGATGGAATACAACACCTTTTTGATTTGTCAATTTGGGCCGCTTTTCTTCAACTGCATTGTTTAATTTCATTAGTTGTTCAATGTAGACATCAGAATTGATCGTTCGGTTGGGTGGTAAGAGTTCAAAGTAGACAATTCCTTTGTAATCCCACCAAACTGATAACAAAACCTTCTTTTGATGAATATCAGCTTTTGATGTTGTTTGAGTTGGTTCACCTGGCCTGCTCCACGATCTTTTCCGCTTGATATTGTTGTAAACAACCCATTTTTCATCGCCAGTTATCAGTCGTTTTAAAAATGGATCATTTTCATTACGTTTCTTTAGCAAATCGCAGCTGCTAATGCGTTGCGTTAACTGTGATTCTTTCAGTTCGTGAGGAACCCATGTATCGAGCTTTTGAACATAGCCAAGTTGTTTTAAGTGATTTTCAATGCATATATGTGATACATGAAGCTTCTCTGCAATCTCACGTGTTGTACTGTGACAGTCCGAATTGATTATTGCTTTGATTAGGGCGTCAAAGCAGTTACAGTTTGAGTGTGATCTGGTATCCACATAACCACCAACCCTTTGATTTCTGCCATGGGATTTGCTTTAAAACAGTTCATTGTAACTGCTTTTTTTTAAAAAAAAAATCAATTTTTAAGGAATAACTGACATTTAACACACATGTCTGAATTTATCCTTTCAAATAATGAGTATTGCCTTTAAATTCCTTTGGATATATTTTGATAAGTTATGAATAAGTGACTTATGAAAATCTGATATTAGAACTGCACCAAGAGTGGGGTTTTGTGTATTCCACTTACCACATTGTTTGCTATTCTATTTAATGACTTGTCAAAAATAGTGGACGTTTAAGATTTCATATTTGTAACATAATTAAGTTGTAACATTTTGTATCCTCCAAACATCATAATTTGTAAAGAAATTGATAAATTAAGTAATTTTTTGTAATTAATAAGCAATGTGCTTTTAGCTGTTTAGGTTGACAGTTATGTTAATATAACTGAAGTATCTCCTCACCTAGGCATTAACAGATCAGCAGCAGTTTGGTAAAGCTGATGAAATGTATGATAAATGTATTGATTTGGAACCAGATAATGCCACAACTTACGTTCATAAAGGGTATGTATTTTTGTGCTTCTGTTTGTTCCAGTAAAAAAATAAATTTTTGCATAATGGGATGGATTTCTTTTGGTCACTGAGGAAAGTACTGTGGTGTAGAGTATCACTGAGTTAATCAATAAATTTATTAATGCTATGGATGCTTCACTGTTAATTTTTTAAATTTTACTTATGTTTCATTCTTGTATACAATCAATAAATGTACTATTTCATTTAGCTTAAGGATTTCAGTTCTGAACATTCTGTGAAATGTTACTTGTGTCAAATAGGAAACATAGCATGCTAAATGAACTGTAATAAAAAAGAAACTTCACTTAGTATAGAGCCCATACTATTGGACACTTTCTCCTCTCTTTTTTATTGAGATATAATTGACATAAGATATACTAGTTTCAGCCGAAACCGGTTTGGCTCAGTGGATAGAGCGTCGGCTTGGGGACTAAAGGGTCCCGGGTTCGATTCCGGTCAGGGGCATGTACCTTGGTTGCGGGCATATCCCAGTAGGGGGTGTGCAAGAGGCAGCTGATCGATGACTCTCTCTCATCGATGTTTCTAACTCTGTATCTCTCTCTCCCTTCCTCTCTGTACAAAATCAATAAAATATATTAAATAAATAAAAATAGAAAAAAAGTGCTATTAAAAAAACAGATATACTAGTTTCAGGTGTACAATGTAGTCAGTATTTGTGAAATTTTCACAATAAGTCTAACAAGTATTTGTACATACAGAATTTTTTTTTTCTTGTAATGAGAACTTTAAAATCTGTTGTAGCAGCTAGCAAATACACAATACAGTATTATTAACTATAACCGCCATTCCATATATTGCATTGCCATGATTTGCTTATTTTATAACTGGAAGCTTGTACCTTTTGATTCCTTTCACCCATGTCACTCACCCCTCACTCCTGCCTCTGGGAACCATCACTCTGTTCTCTTTATGTGTAGGTTGGTTTTTGTTCGTTTTTTTGTTTTTGTTTTTGTTTTTTTAGAATCTATGTATAAGTGAGATCATGCAGTATTTGACTTTCTGTCTGACTTATTTCATTTAGCATAATGCTTTCAAGATCCATCCTAGTTGTTGCAAATGGTAGGATTCCTTTTATGGCCCATTCTAGTAATATTCCTTGTGTGCATATGTGTGTGTGCCAAGTTTTTTTTTTTTTTTTATCCATGCACCCATCAATGGACACTTAGGTTATTTCCATTGACACTTTTTCATAATAAGGAATTTAGTATACAAAACAAATATAAATTGAGAAATAAAAACAGTTTGCAGATTATATACTATTTTAAGTTTTATTTTCGTTTTGTAATTAAAAATTCATTGAGGGCAGAAATTGAGTTATATACTTATATTCTTGTTGCTTTTGGCCCATGGTCAATCTGACTGCTTTTTTTGCATTTGCAGTTTACTTCAACTTCAGTGGAAGCAAGACCTGGATAGAGGTTTGGAGCTTATCAGCAAAGCTATTGAAATTGACAGTAAATGTGATTTTGCCTATGAAACCATGGGAACTATTGAAGTACAAAGGTAACTTCCAAAGTCTGTTCTTAGGAAATTTAAGGCAGCTCTGTTAGATATTTTATCTCTTCATTCTTCTCATTACAGATAGGTTATTGTCAATATCAATTAAATTTTTAAGTCGTAATATGTTATGTCCTTTGAGGCACGCTTCCCTCAAACTACGCAACTTTTATTTGCCTTATTTTATTATTTTTCAAATTTAAAAGTTTCAAATTTAAATGTTTAAGTCAAGCATATGTATTACAAAGAAAAATTTGATCTTTTCCAATTCCTGTTGTGTGTTCTTTCCTCTTTGGGAGAAAAAGCCTGCAGAGAGCTTAGGCAGTGCAGCCGCATCAGGAATGGTAGGCAGTCAGGTGGCCAAGAGAACTAGATCCTGTGAGAAGCAACCAGCCAAGTGGCAACATCAGCTCTGAGCCTGAGTTTTCTTTAAAATCAGGGAGTTGGGTAAGATTTTTTGCAACTCTTTTCATAACTTCTTGTGTATGTTTATCCAGAGTTGCACTTGAGATCCACCATTAACAGGTGACAACTGTTTATGCCCAAGAGTTCAATGTAATAACCATCTTAATACTGAAATTGCCATCTACTTGAGAACCTACTTTATGGCCAGATACGGAACCTTGGTTACTTTCCAAATATTAGTTCAGTTAATCTCTACACCAATCTTTATAACTAGAAGATCCTTAGTGTAATTGAAGAATCTATAAACTGATGACCAGATGGGTTAAATTGACAAGCTACACCAGTGAGCCAAGTAGACGGGAAATGAGCCATCTTTCATTGACATCAGAATAACTGATCTTGCCACTTTGCTTGTTAGGAACAAGTAGTTGTTGTAATTCTGTCATTCAGCCCCTCCTGGGCTCCTCTGTCTGCTCAGAATAGGCAGAAAATATATATTCAGGCTGATGAAAATTTTATGGTTCTTTTTAACTATTGTGTACTAATGGTTGCATGTAAATAATAAAATTGCCAATTTGTTAATGTGAATACAATATTCTTGTATTAGAATGGGTTGGGAAAGCAGTTTTTTTTTTTTTTAATTAAAACTAAAAGTTTATTTTGGATAAAATAATGAAGACAGATTACAATGGTACATTGTACAAAAAGACTAGAAAATAATTTAGTGCTGGCATACAACAAACCCACAACCTGTATCTGCAAAGCAGGACTAACAGCCTTCTGCCCATAGCCACAAGTGGAGAGGTTTTCTTAACAAGGAAGCACTATTTATATGCAAAGTTCTGTCGGAAAGCAGTTCTTAATCTTTTTGAGCAGACCTGTTGATTTTTTTTTTAGGATGCTGCACATATAAAAGCACTTTGCATTTAAGTTGTTCATAAAGCCTGGATTAAGGACCCTTGCGTTATGGTGTTTGATGGTTTTTGTTTGTGAATTAATTTTAACTTTTAAGAAATTCATTCTAAATCCTTCCTTAAAAGTAAAGACATGTGAATGGAGTGAAATTGCTCATTACCCTAGGATTTAGCAACCTATTACATACTTGATATCTGAACTTTTAAAGTTTTGTTGTTGTTGTTAATGTCTACCGTGGAGTCATCTGTTGGAGTAAGAGGTTAGTCACCCCACAGGTACAGTGTACTTCTTAGTCTAACTGGCATAGATAGAATAGGGGCTTAATAAATATTTATTGTAAGATGATATGCATATATGCAGAGTGGCCATATTACTATGATCTCTGAACGCATAATAATCTGACCACTCAGTGTATATCCTATATAATAAAAGGCTGATATGCAAATTGTCCCCTTGACCAGGAGTTCGACAAGCAGGCAGGCTGGCCAACCGCCCACGTCACCTCCCCCTGACCAGGCTGGCCGGACCCCACCCATGCACGAATTCATGCACCAGGTCTCTAACACACACACACACACACACACACAATGTCCATATTATTATGCATTCAGAGATCACTCAGTGTACATAGCTAATACTAATTACTTAACATAGCTCTTGGTTCTTAGTAAGCATATAAAGCCAAACCACACTTAAATTGTAAATGGTAAATTATATTTTTGACCAAGCATATTTACCCATTTACTAAAAAAATCAGATACTATTATTAGGCATTGTTTTAGGTTCTAGAAATTGAAGGTTTTCCACTAAGGATCTACTAGGATTGTGTTGTGTATACGTATGTCTGCATAGAATGACCACAGAACTACAGGAACACTGGGAAGGGAGTGGAAAACCGTTTTCATGAGAATACTAGATTTGAACTGTGTCTTGGAAAGAGACAAATAGTGCAGGTCTGGGTGTAAGCACAGTCACGGGATTTGGGTAGACGTGTGTGACCGGAGTGAGGTGCATAGGAGGGGGGTGTGGTGGTAAGAGGTGAGGCAGAAGGAAGGTGGGCCCACAGGTCCGGAAGGTAAGGCCCCTGAGTGCCATTGCTGTCCCCTGAGGCTGTCACTTCCAGCGCAGGGCTTGGGAACCTTCTCTGCCAAGGGCCCTTTGGATATTAATAACGTCATTCGTGACCACACAGAATTACCCACTTAAAAGCTAGCCTGCTGTATTTGGTCAAACATACGAATTAGGAAGATTATAAACAAGTCAGTCACTTAATTTCTCTACTCTCACTGTTCTTATCTGTAAAACAAGACTGTAACAGGTATAAGCACACAGTAATTGTAAATCAAGCACTTTCGATGTGCATTGTTTTATTATAAAGAAGGATTTTATGCCGAAACCGGTTTGGCTCAGTGGTAGAGCATCGGTCTGCGGACTGAAAGGTCCCAGGTTCGATTCCGGGCAAGGGCATGTACCCGAGTTGTGGGCACAATCCTCAGTAGGGGGTGTGCAAGAGGCAGCTGGTCTATGTTTCTCATCGACGTTTCTAGCTCTTTCTCTCTCTCCCTTCCTCTCTGTAAAAAAATCAATAAAATATATATATATATTTTTTAAAAGGATTTTATTAGAACTGTAGTTGAAATTTATGGGTCAGACTCTATATCACATCACTACTATCTTCATTGCATTCTGTGAGGAGCTTGTTGAATGAAATATTTAAAATTTTTGTTCTTTTAGAGGAAACATGGAGAAAGCCATTGACATGTTCAACAAAGCTATTAACCTGGCCAAATCGGAAATGGAGATGGCTCATCTGTACTCCCTCTGTGATGCGGCCCATGCCCAGACAGAAGTTGCAAAGAAATATGGATTAAAGCCACCAACATTATAAAATAGGGGGAGGGAACATGACTCTTTTTAGAAGTTTACCCCCTCTGCAACTGAACCCTACAGACACTCATGAACTGTGTTGGCTGGTGGGAAGTATTCCTGTTTGTGCTGCTGTCATCCGCTACATCTGTTTCACATTTAGGTGTGGGAGTGGCTGTGGAAGGAAGTGTGCAGTGTTGCAGCTTTTATTCCCTGGGCGACAAGCTTAAAACCTGTTCAGGATTACTAGAATGAAGTTGCAAAGAGTACACATGATAATTGGCCATGCAAATAAAACTTTTATTTGTTGATTTGGCTTTTTTTTTTTAAGAGGGCGGGGAGATGGAAGATTTTGTCTGTGTGTGTATGTGTGTGTAATATAAGTATTTTTACAGCATGTTGGTTTTTAAAGTAACAATAAGTGTTGTAAAATAGGTTTCTTTTAGATTCACTTAATCCCTTTGAGGTGTTTTTTTTTTCTGTTTTGTTGAGTTTTGGGGTTTTTTGGGTTTGTTTGTTTTTTGAAGGAAATAAAGCCTAAATGGGGTTTTGTTTTTAAGGCATCAAAACTGATAGAACCCTTAAGTATTGTCAGCATGCACAATGCCTCAAATTCCACAGAACCTTTGACTCAGTGGCAACTGTTCAGCCTTTTTACCCCTTTAACGCTAATGGGTAATGTACATTGTTCTTCAAGTCTACAATAGCTGCTTTCATCGTAAATTATGCAGAAGCAAATATTGTTGATGTATGTGCTGGAAGACTGAGTGAATGGAGGAATGGACCAGGTAAGAGGTAAGGTGAAATGAAAGTGTGTTTTTAATTGCCATGACTATTTTCTGTAATAAGTACTATTAAATAGCGTCCTTTTAAAAGAAAATGCAGGTTGGTTGTATGTTAAAGAATGAGTGTGCTACATGGGTGTATTTAATTAGCTTAAAGTTTCTAATGGAGAGAAAATGGGGCTAAAGGTTCAAAAATAAAGTAATTCTTAGAGCCAGAAGCATAGCATTTTCTGAAGCTTAGTGCTTCAACTGTGGCTAAATGTGCTTAAGGAATTTGGAGTCAGTCTTTTTAAAGATGCTGCGGACCTGTGGAGTGCTTTTTGTTTCTGAGTTAATCTTGTTCCCAAAGGCCGGCTGACTTCCCACGACCAGGTCTTCACTAGGGATACTGACAGCAGATTTTTGTTTTGTTTATCTCTTTACCTTACCATTTTACTTACAAATCACTTTGTTTTTTCCAGTTGTCACTTTTAAGGACCATCATTTTGTTTATATGCTGCATTTTTCTGGTAGCTGTTCTTAAAGGGGTCTCTTGTTTTGAGATATTCTGGGTGGTGACAGGTTTATTTAAGCCCGAGAATAATAAAACATCAAGCCTTTAGTTACACTTTCTTGGAAATGAAATCTAATTAGAGTTTACGTTGCTGGGAGTAAAGGAGCATTTTACACCCTCCCTCCCCCCCATTTTAAAGGGTGCTTTATCCTACCAAAACCAAAAAGATTGTAAATGCTGTCTTCTTAGAAATTACTAGAAATTACTTCCTTCCAAAGTCAGAGTCTGCAAAATACTGAGGGGCCTCTGAGTGGGCGCAGATAATATAATTTAAGATGACTTGGATAATGGAAACTATGAGCTCTGCATTTTAGTTATTAGATAATGCTCCTGAACACACATTGCTCCATCTCTGAGCAACCTGTGACTTAGAGAAGACAAACACCAGTTTTTACTTGCCTAGCTGTATTTACATTAACACTGATCTTCCCTTCTCCTTTTCTACCCCATGGGGGGGGGGGGGGGGGGCGAGAACACAAAGAAAACTGAAGCATGTGCCAATCAGTACTGTCATTCCGAGTCCTCATGGACTACTGCCTGTTCTAAAAGATATTTGGACCTGCACTGAAAGTTACATCTGTCTGTTCTTTACTTTTGTAAATGACCTCATATGTAAATTCACCAAATAAATATTACATTCAAGCTTTTCTTTCTTTTCTTGAAGTCTGTTTACAAGCCATAACACAGAATGATGGTCCTCCCCAAAGTATCCGCGTCTTCATCCCTGGAACCTGTGGCTGTTACTTTATACATTCATTCTTCTTTTTTTTTTTTTTTTTTTTTTTAATTTCAGATAGGAAGGAAGAGGAGGAGAGAGACAGAAACATCAATGATGAGAGAATCATTGATTGGCTGCCTCCTGCATGCCCCCTACTGGAATCAAACCCCAACCCAGGGCATGTGTCCTTGACCAGAATCGAACCTGGACCCTTCATTTCACAGACCAATGCTCTATCCCCTTAGCCAAACCAGCTAGAGCAACCTTTTCTTAAAAATATAAGTGAAGGGACAATATGATTTTGAGCTGAAAATAAGCCACCCAAGTTAATCTAGCAAGATGTTCTTTTTTTCAACTGGTGAGGCGACACCAACGGTGAAACTACATATTTGAGAATTAGCATATCTTTAAGACCATGCATGTAGATGCGATTACTTCAGGACAGAATTAACATTGAAAAGGGTAGCCCTACCCAGTTTGGCACAGTGCGTCGCCTGTGTTCTGAGGGTCCTGGGTTCAATTCTGGTCTAGGGTGCGTGCCCCGCTGCAGACTCCGTCCTCAGTAGGGAGCCTGCAGGAGGCAGCCAATCAATGGTTCTCATCGTTGATGTTTCTCTCTCCCTCTTCCTTTCTGAAATAAAAAATTCAGGGAAACATGTAAGGAACAAAAGGGAGCAATGTACCAGTAAAAGTGGGCTGAGAGCAGATAGGACCAAGGTCACAGTGACGTTAGAGGCAAAACAAGTCTGCCAGGGGAGTGTCATTGGATCGGTCACAGGGGAAATGGCCGCAGGCTTCTGAGAACTAATGAGCAGGAATGATTCTGTTAAGAGGCTGGGAGGTGAAGGGAGTTTTTTACAGGATGGCATGGTTTTTGTTTTATTTTGAGGGAGAAACTTAGAGAATGGATCTTGGGACACAACATTTAAGAATAGTTGAGCCCTGGCCTGTGTGGCTCAGCTGGGCATCAGCCCATGCACCAGAAGGCTGCCAATTTGATTTCCCCGTCAAGCACGTGCCCGGGCTGCAGGCTTGATCCCCCGGTGAGGGGCATGAAAGAGGCAGTCTATTAATGTTTGCTCCTGCTCCCCCCAAAAAAAATCTTAAAAAAAAAAAAAAAAATGAAGTCACACCTCTGGTTCTCAACCTGACAACCCTTTTGTGCTGATACATCAGCATGACAGAAAGTGAAACTGTGAGTGTCAGTTTACCACTAAACCTGTGTTAACATCTTGGGAAATTGTGCTGTGATTATTTTTGTTGGCTTTTTGTTTTTTTGCTTTTGTTGCTGGAGAAATGGACTATTAGCATAATTTTAAAACAAGCCCTCACGAGTGCTAATGCTGCTCAGGGTGTGAAAGAAACATCCCAGACAATTGAGAGAGAAACGGTTGTGATTGGATAGATGGCAGGGAGTTAGCCAGGGACAGTGTTTGGAGGCAGTGTCATGAAGATGCTGCATTCTGACCTCCTGCTGGACACCCTGGAGTGAGTACTGAAAGCGACTCACTGAAGGCTGGCAGAGGGTGGTGGTTTGCTAAATTTTAGGAATGTTTGTTAAATTAAACAGTACATTAGACATGTGCTGTACAAAAGAAAGGTTAATACGGAATCACTTGGGGGTCTGGGACGAAATAATAATTTGGTTTTCAAAGAAATTGCTTCTGGAACAGCTCCAGAACGAGTTAAGTCCGAGGACTGAGGTCCCACTGTTGAGCACAAAGGAACACATCTGTAGGCGCCCACAGACTTTAGGAGAGGGTGGGATCACTCTGCCCCCGTGCTCCGCCTTCCAGACTCCTTCCATTTGAACCAGATATGAAGTCATTGGTGAGAAAGTATGGATGTGTTTTAGTTATTTGACTGTAGATCTGGAGCTTTTATTTTTTTATTTTTTTGTTGTTGTTAATCCTCACCTGAAGGTATTTTTCCTTTAATTTTTTATTATTATTGAGTTTTAACAGAGCGGAGGAGAGATGGAGAGTTAGAAACACTGATGAAAGAGAACCAGCAATCAGCTGCCTCTTGCATAGCCCCCACTGGGGATGTGCCCACAACCAAGGTACATGCCCTTGACCGGAACCGAACCTGGGACCCTTCAGCCCGCAGGCCAACGCTCTATCCACTGAGCCAAACCGGTTTTGGCTTTCCAGTGATTTTTTAAAAGAGAGCGGAAGGGAGGGGAGAGAGAAACACTGATTAGTTTTCTCCCACACGCCCCAACCAGGGCCAGGGATCAAGCCTACAATCGAGGTAGGAGCCTTTGACTGGAATTGAACCCGGGCCAATGCGCTATATACTGAGCCAAACCAGCTAAGGCTTAGCTTAAT